GCACAGCCCCTACACTACTCCTTTCCCTATACTCTGAGCTACCCTCCATGCCTGCACACAGGCCCTAGCTAGCCCTCTCCCTGCACACTGAGCTACCCCCATACCTGCACACAGCCCCTAGTTATCCCCTCTCTACGCCCTGAGATATGCCCCGCTCGCACGGAGCTGGCTCAAGCCTTGCTGGCCTCTGCCTCCCTCCCCCAAAATAGAAGTCCCTGCCCCAAGAGCCCCCAACCTCTGCTGTGTCCTGGAGTTTTTATAGCATGTTGTGGGGGCCTCCACGAAAAAAAAGGTTGAGAACCCCTGGCAATTGACTCTCATTGATTTCTACAGCAAACACCTATATTCATTTGGTATTCCAATTAAAGGTATATGGACTCTTATATTAGTATAAGATAATTATTACTTTTTATGTTTGTAAAAACCTACATCTTCTGAACCTATATCTTCAACGAGTAGGAGTCACCTCAACAGAATGAGAAAGAAGGGAGGATAGTTAAAATACAGTAAGACAACAAAAATCACTGACTGACCTGTGGGTATGCAGTGCCCATTCCAGACAGCACAGCGGAAAGAACATCCTTTCCCTTCTCACCAGCCCTGGTGGAGACAGCAAGCTTCAGCAGGTCAACCATGACTCGTGTGTCATCCGGTACTAAAAGACTAGTGAACTCATCCAAGTATTGGGGCTCAGGACCAGATACTTTACTTTGGCTTTCTACATCCTGAAAGAGAAATTCAAGAAATATATAATATATAATGAAGAAAGATGGAAGAAAGATTTTATATAACAAACTGAGTTAACTTGCCTATAAAAACCCAACATGGTCACTAACCTGTTCTGTAACTGTTGTTCTTTGTGATGTGTTGCACATGTCCATACCGCTTCAGATGTGTGCATGCCCAGTGCACTAGCATTACAGACTTTTCCCTTAGAGGTAACCCCACATAAGGGCAGCCCAATGCACCTGCTGCTGCCTCCTACTGCTACACAATGGCACAAAGGGTACAGCCACCTTGATCCTCCTCAGTTCCTTTTTACCAGACAGATTTTGATAGAGAGGGGAAGGAGAGTGGGTCTTGGAACGGACATGTGCAACATCTCACAGAACAACAGTTACAGAGCAAGTTAGTAACCATTTTTCTTAAGTGATTGCACATGTTCATTCTGTTTCAGGTGTCTCTCAAGCAGGTCAATCAAGAGATGGGATCAGAGTCGACCTGAATAATGACAGAAGGACTAAATGTCCAAATCTGATATCTCTAGACTGTTGAGAGATGGCATTAGAATCAGAGATATGTACTGATGACCAAGTTGCAGCACTACAAACAGCCACTACAGGCACATGAGCTAAAAAGTCTGCAGAGGCCATCTGAGATCTCGTTGAACATGCCAGCATGCTGTCTGGGGAAGTTACATTGGTCATGTTGTAGCACAAACGTATACAGGAGGAAATCTACAATAAGATTCTTTGAGATGAGACTGGAATGCCCTTCATCCTGCCTGCAACTGCCACAAACAGTTATGAAGATGGCCTATGGTTTAGTCCTATCCAAGTAAAATGCTAATGCTCTCCTAACAGCAAATGTGTGGAGTCTCTCCTCATTCTTAGGAGAATGAGGATTGGGGAAGAATGTTGGTAAATATAATGCCTGACTGATATGGAAGTGAGAAACCATGCTGGTGAGAAATTTTGGATGAAGGTGAAGATATACCTTTTCCTTGTATAAGATACCTGATGGATCAGATACCAGGGCTCTCAATTCCCTCACTCTTCTTGCAGAGATAATTGCCACCAAAAAGGCTGGCTAACTTGAAAGATGAAGCAACAAACAGAGAGCAGGCAGTTCAAAGGGCAAGGTGGGGGTGTATAATAATGTTCAAATCCCCACGAGGGAACATAATACCTCCTTTCAGTCCTCTTAGCTGTGTGAGGCACGGAAGATGGTTTTTATCACAACACTCTAGTGGGCTCCCAAATAGCCTCATTTATAGGCAGTGCCACTCAAGAAGGCCCCGCAGATGCCAAATTGTCAACCAATCTGCCTGAGCTCTCCTGAACTACTTCCATCTGTATATCAGGGTGGAAGCCATTCTCTTAAGGAGGTTCTGATGGGCCCTATAATCGTCCAGAGAAGGTGAAAAAACACTGGACACTACCGCCTGATCAAGTGATGAGGAGGAGGAACCCAAGGCTGGCTGAAATGGTGCTTCTCCCAATTCCTCCAAAGTGAGATTCATTGGGGCAGACTGTTCAAGTTTGATACCGAGCTCAGTACCAGGAGTGGCTTCTTGAAGATCTCAACGCAAAGAGTGATCACAGTACCTACCAGAACAGGGAGAGTGGAGAAGAGGAACTGGCGCTGGATGGAAACCCACACTGGCTCCAGTACTGTCGCAGATATGGCCCTGGAGTCCAATTTTTTTCCTGACAAAGGCTCCCTACTGACTGACCAACCAACATGGAGTCTCCACTGGATACCAGCAGTGAAAACCTCTCATAGCAGAGTGATGTTTTACGTGACACGGCTGTGACACATAAGATCCAATTTCTGACTCAGACAATGAACCCGGAGTCATTCAATGAGGGAGGTGCCATGCTTCTCAGTGCTGGGGAAGCAGTGATGGGAGTCTGGAGAGGATGGTACTGGAGAAATTATAGTCAGTTTGCCCCTCAACTGCACCGTACAAAGGGGTACCAGAGCATTTGAAGGTGCCCATGGTACTTGGTGCTGAACTCTAGCAGTCAGCAAGTCCTTGTGGGTGTCTGTTGGTATTGGGTGAAGTGTTTCTCGAACCACCAGTATCAGTAGACTCAGCTGATCACTTGCCACGACATAAGTCTCAGGAGTTGACAGCACCAGGAGTCTCTCTTGGTGCTGCTGAGGCAAAAAGGACGCACTGCTGAACAAGATGGTGCTCCCTTATAGACACTCAACAGCATCAGTACCTGAGTTAATGACCTCACCTAAGGTTCCACCTGCCCCAAAGAAAAAACTGCTTGGCACTATGTACACTCTACCCTGCTTCTCAGCTTGGCTGCTGGATACTGGTGCTGGCAACCTCAATCTCCTGGACAATGCCGTTCCTCAGTGAAGTCTTTCAATGTTTCTTCTTCAGTACTGGAGAAGGAGATCAATGTCGGGACTCTGCCATGCCAGGAGGAGCGCTCCTAAGCAAAGTAAAGGCACTCAATGCCCACCTCGAGCAGGAAGGTTCTGAAGATTGGGCAGGGCTGCATCCATAAGGAGATGTTTTAGTCTGACCTCCCAGTATTTTTTAGTTCTGGGTTTCAAGTCCCTGCAGATTTCACATCTGTCCCTGATGCATGCTTCTCTGAGGCACTTCAGGAACCTGGAGTGCAGGTCCCTGACCAGCATCAGCTTCTTGCATGTATTTCAAAGTTTAAAGCAGTGGTCTCCAACCTTTTAACGCACAAGATCACTTTTTGAATTTAAGGGCAACCCAGGATCTACCCCACCCCTTCCCCATCTCCCCTCTCTTCATCACTTGCTCTCCCCCACCCTCACTCACTTTCACCGGGCTGGGACAGGGGGAGGGGGCACGTGGCTCCGTGTGCTGCCCCTCTCTGCAGGCACCTCTCGGCCAATGGGAGCTGGGGGGGGGCACTTGCAGGCAGGAGCAGCACACAAAAAACCCTGCCCCCCATTCCTCCGGGCTGCGCTGGCCACTTCTGGGAGCAGTGGGGGGCCTGGGAGAGTGTCCAGGATTGACCAGTTGGTGACCACTGGTTTAAAGTCTGGGGACTGAGGCATGCCACAGCACTGGGCATTGACACCCAGAACCACTGGGAACCAAAATGTAAACTACATACATTAGTAAAATAAAAAAATAAACCTACACTTCAGTAAGACGATGCAACAAGTACCAACCATATACAACAGAAAAGACTCAGAAAGAGAGAAACACTTGTGGTAGCAAGTTAGCACGCTCTGACAATCATCACAGGTGGTAAGAAGGAAGAGATGGGAGTTGGTTTTACCCTTTGGACCATCGTGCAGCAGCACAATGCAGCTGAGGACATATGTGCCATCCTAGTGGGTACAGCTGAGGGAAAAATCTCAAATGCTAGTGAACAGAGCAAGCTTACACCTGCAGGGGAACGGGCATGTGCAAGCACTCCAAGAAGAAACAGAAGTTTAATACTGTGACCCTAAGACAGGGGTGAGCAAACTTTTTGGCCCGAGGGCCACATCTTGGTATGAAAATTGTATGGTGGGCCATGAATGCTCACGAAATTGGGGTTGGGGTGCAGGAGGGGGTGAGGGCTCTGACTGGGCTTGCAGACTCTGGGGTGGGGCCAGAAATAAGGAGTTCAGAGTGCGGGAGGGGGCTCTGGGCTGGAGGATGAGGTTGGGGTGCGGGCAGGAAGGCTCCGGCTGGAGGTGTGGGCTCTTGGGTGAGGCTGGGGATCCCGCTTTATTAGGCTTCCACCACAATTTTGACAGTGGGAGCTCCAGCGGCCAACAGCGGGGAGGCCCCCCGGCTCTCAGCCCCAGGCGGAAAACTGCGGAAAAGTAATAATGGACCTTATTACCGCAAATAAGAAGGTCCATTATTACTTTTCCGTGATTTTCCATGGCTTGTCTGCAACTCAGCCGCAATTTGGGACAATCATCCCGTGATTCAAGTAGGGGCTTAATAATAAACATCTATCAGCTGTATTCACACAGTTATGACTAGTAGAAAGTAGTGGTAGGTTAACAAGTGTTCAGCTCCTATTTTCTGAAAGCCCTAACTAATTAAAAGGGAAAATGTGAAGAGAAACACAGACTATCAAGCCACAAAACCGTAATAGACAATTGACTATCAAATCTTCAGAACAAAGTCCTAAGGAAAAAAATATCAACTATTTCTTGATTTTATGAACCAATGCTTATTAGGCAAGGCTTAGGGGCGTTGCATATTTAGGGATCGCTTCACTATATCATTTGGGGCATTTACCAAACAAAACTATGCCATGCTGAAGTATACTATAAAAATTACTACCTACTTATGTAAACAATACTTTTACATGTATTAGACAGTAGGGCTGGCTGGAAAACAGAAATTTCATTTCAGAAAAAACAAGCTTTCAAAAATTTGCTCTCATTCCGCATCAGAACTGAAATGAGACCTTTCGAATTTTAGGGTGAAAAAAATACAAGACTACCAACCCCAGAATAACCAGTAACTCAGTGGTGGTTAGGGCACTACCTAGGATAGGAGATTCAACTCCCTGCCTAATTTGAAACCGAGGCATAGGGCTGGTCATACTACCGCTTAAGTTGATCTAACCTACGTCGCTTAGGGGTATGAAAAAGAAACCCCCCTGAATGACTCAAGTTATAGTGACCTACGAGCTGTCCACACCAATGCTATGCCGGTGGGAGATGCTCTCCCAGTGACATAGCTTCTGCCTCTCACAGAGTTGGAGTAATTATGTCGATGTAATTACCTCTCCTGTTGGCATAGAGCACCTTCACTAGATGTGCTGCAGCTGCGCTGATGTAGTGCTTCTAGTGTAGACCTGCCCTTAATCCTGGGTCTCCCACATCCCAGGTGAGTGCCCTAAGCACCAGACCATTTTGATTATTCTGGGGTAGGGGGGTCCCTCTCTCCCCTTTTCCTCTGGGTCTCCCACATCCCACGTGAGTGATCTAACCACCAGGCTATTGGTTATTCTCGAGTCCCTCTCTCCCCTTCCAGAAATTCCATCCTGACCATAAGAAACCTTCCCAACTAAATTTTTGTCAAAATAAGATACTACTTTTTCATGAAACATTTCAGCTTTAACAAAACCGCACTTTTAGATGGGAAAATTTTTCAAAAAGTTTGTGACCAGCTCTACCTAGCACCATAAAAAATACATTTGCATTACTCAAAGCTAACTAACTACATACACAGAGTTGCATATGGCATTCTCAACCATATGGCACTTGCTGTAGCACCAGAAATTTTTTTTTCTCTGCTGACATAACTTGTCAAACACCAGAACAATTCAATTGCTTGATGGAGATACATAATAAAACCTATAATCTTAAAAATATTAGCCATATTACTTCTTTGGTTTTCGTCATGGTCTCTGCTATGATACTGGCAGCTCCAGGATCATCAGTGACTGGAATGAAAGGACGAGAAGAGGCAGCAGCAGCTGAGGGAGTTACAGCAGAGGGGGTCACAGCATCTTCTGAAGAAACAACCTAGTCAAAAAACATCATAGTTAACCAGATAGCAGAGCAATAAGATATTCCATGTGTTTAAACAAGCTTAAGTAGACTTTGTAAAAAGAAGTTTGTGCTCAGGAAAGAGATGCCTAAAAACAGCAGCATCTTATTCAAGAAATCCCTGTATGAACCTTGCAGTGGTGCCTACTGGCGAACTAAGGGCTTTTCTTCGCTATGGGACTAAGTCGATGCAAGTTACACTGCTTCCGTAACATAAAACTACATAAGTGACATAACCTACATCGACTTACTGCAATGTCTACACCATGCGATTTCAACGAGAGATGCGCTCCCATCAACTTAGCATTTCTTAACCAGACTCGCTAAATCGACGCTGCGGCATCCATCGCAGCAGCGCTGATTTAGCTCGTAGTGAAGACAAGCCCTAAATCAGGGCCCCACTGCACTAGGTACGAACATGCAGTAAGATGACAATTCTTATCCCAAATCGCTTACAACCTAAAAGACAAGATATAACAGCTGTATGAGACAAACAAGTATGTCAGCATGGGGGAATGGAAAAGATGTATCCTCTTTAGTGACAAAATTATTATTACTACTCCTTTTAACACTGAAGAACCCACACAATATGTTTGTATCTGGCTTTTTTTCTCAATACATCACACAATAGAAATAATGTTACAATTATTTGTTACATTTGAAATAAGATTTAGACACTGACGATTCTCTTCAGCTTGTCATTTCTTCTTTTTTAAATCCAGTTTATAAATTTACCTCTACTTCTTAAACTGTTTCAATACCTGACTAAGAGAACACCAATATCTTTGAATCAGGTCTAAAAACATGGTGAGAAATTACCTTATGTTTTTATCTGATTTACTGGACTCGAAACTTGTGAATTGATCAATTATAATCAGGCACAGCTGACAAATTGCAGGTACTTTATGGAATTGATTCTAAAAGTTAGACCGATGCTGAAGTAAAGTTCTTACACATGTTACTGTCAAATTAAATAAAGGAAAATACTTCACAGTGTTATTGTTGATGGATGTTTCAGCACTCAAATTGTTGCTCTGATAGCAAAACTGATTCTGATTTTATTTATTTTACCTCTCCTCTCCTGTCCTGCCAGGGATTTGGACTCAGTCTCTCTTCGACATCCACTGCTAGCACACACTCTTCCCCATTGGCAGGGCTCCCTGTAGAAGCAGCATCTGGTGGTGGGACCGGGGATGAAGAAGGACATTCCACTGGTGCAATCATACTTGCAGGCATCAGTGCTCCAACCACTGCATCCCTAGATCAAAAATGAACCAACTGTTGAGGAAAGACTTACACTAGGACCACCAAATCCTCTCCTTGGAAGAAACGTGTCCTGTTATTCAGCTAGAGTAATGCTAAAAGTGATGGTTTTCAATGTTTGCAGTCTACAGGGTAGTTTACTTCCATTCCATATGGGAAGACTCACACTTAGCTGAGATAGTTACAGATGCCTACAGAGTTTGGGGATTGTTAAACCAAAGTCTGCCACAAGTTTCTTTTCAGACTCTTTACCACTAATATTTCTCCTGTCTTTACAAACAGAAATGAGCAATCTCAAAAGGAGCCCTCTGCTCTGTGATACACATTCTCAACTGCAAGGTATACAACAAGATTATTGCTGGGAGTTGCACTTTTGGAAAGCTATCATTCTGTTCTTATTTGGATGATGCACTCTCACATGAGTCTTTTAAAAAAGCTAATATTTTGTTGCAGAGTTTCCTGTTCCACATAAGACAGTCTTGTCAGGAAAACCTGTATCAACAAGTTGATTTCAAGTGAACACTAAAAGGAAATTTAAATGAAGTTAAAGCATACATCCTAGAGCCCTATTTTATACCCATGATTAACTGGTATAAGGGAGAAACTGTATGAAGTAGCTTACCATCTATGCTTCAACCTGTAAAATACAAGAATGTTGGCAGGCCTACCTGGCATACATGATTTGTAATGCTGTCAATATATGAGATAATGCTTGTTGTTTGGCAAGGTTCCCATCTAGCGACAGAAGAATCTTAGCGAGGGAAGGGCGGTTAGGTTTGGAACTGCTTACACCACTGATTTTGTTACTGGCAGCAGAAGAATCTGCATCTGATGGGACACCTGGGAAAAAGAGTCAGACATGGTTTTTTAAAAAAAGACTATAATGCATAATAACTAGTTTTGTTTGTTACCTGCTTAATGATACTTTTGGAAAGGATTCTTAGCCTACAATTCGTGTAATTCTGATATGAAACCCAATACTATATCTAGGTCAGCAACGACTTTCATGTAAAACAGAGTCTAAAACTTACTCATGAGAATGGAGACAGCTCAACACCACTAGTTTCCTACTGGCCTCTACAACAATCTTTACTTGGACAAAAAATTAGCAGTTAAGTACTATTTATATATATTGCACATCTATGAAGCTCTGTTATTGCTGCAGTTCTGTCCAGGAAAAAGATAGCTAATGGATTAAAAGACATAGAAACAGCCAAAATATTCTGATATTTTACATAGAACATTTTTGTTACTCAAATCTGACTAAAGTTTGGTTCTGATAAATTGGGAAGGTGCCATCATAGAATGCTGCCTCCCTCTTTAATGGTGGTCACGTGTCTTAGAAATCAATAAGTAAGATAACATTTGCATCAAGAATTATTATTTGTAAGAGGCATATAATACAGAGATTTAATATTATGCTAGCATCCAGAAGCCCCAATCAGGGCAAGGCCCCAACATGACAGGCACTGTATCCCCTGCCCAAAAATAGACAAAAGTCTACAGTCCAAGAAGAATCTCATTTTTGCTAATGCATTTTGGACTTTGACAAACAGTTTAAGACATTTAAAAATTCAAACTAGCGCTAACTTTTGTATGACTCCTCAGCTTCAGGGCACACAATGTTTTAGCTTCCCAAGTCTTGTTCTCTTCTCACGTCCTCCATTTTCAGCAAATCAGTATGTTTAAATGTCTTTCATCCTGCACAGCCACCTTGTCCCCCACACCCGTCCATCTATACACATCTACAACGCTGCCCCAATCCACAAATATTGTTTAAAAATGTTAAGGAAATAAACACAAGCTTTGTATTACCTAGATAAGAAGCGCCTAAAGGGTCTCTAGCAGTTTGGAAGAGTACTGGCTCATGAACAGATGGTGTAGCTACATCCACTGTTGTCCATGCTACACTGTGGGAAGATCCACAAGCAACACGTGTAATTTTCTGGCCTTCTAAACCCTGTACAAGAGTGGGTTTTCTATTGACTGTAGTAGTTCCATTGCCTTGTTGTCCATGATCATTGTCACCCCAAGCATAAACCTGCCAACAGACAGTTCTATGTGTTACTGTGTTTCACTGAGTCTTTCATATACTTATTTTCAAAATTACTATGATAGGATCTTATCTCTAAATGACTTACTTTACTAATTTAAGATATTGCCAGAGTACCTACCACCTTCATAATTAACAGCTGATGCTTTCAGGTTACATATGCTAATATAGCACATATGAGCTTCATTCTGTGAGCAGATTCATGTACTATTTCATTATTCTGGGTGTACATGAAGTTAATGGAATTACTTGCACATGGATTTTACTGGGGCTCTGCATAACTATGATATTTATGCTATCGCCCAATATAGAACAGAAATAGGTCCTGTCACAAGATCATGGTTGCTTCTGGATCTTAGGAAGCGAAAAGCCGGGGGTTGTGTCTGAAACATCCCATGTTACCATAAATAATAAGGAACAAAAATGCAAAAGCTATATTAAGATGAGTTAAGATTTAATAAATATATGAAGGCAAGAAAATTCTAAGTGACAATCACATTAATATTTGTGCAGTTCTTTAAGAAGTAAAACAATATATTATAAAGAATATTTATTCCATTCAATAAGTATGTAGTCAGTGATTTTAGTTTATTATCCATTTGTTGTGTGATATTATGATTAATCAATATGTTATATCATATAGATTCGCTGTATGTTAACTAGAGTTAATTTGTAGGATTAGAGAAGTATAAGATTGATCCATACTTAGAGGAATCATTAGATATAAGTAAGACAAGCTGAAATGCAAGAACCTGTAGGCTGAGGCCTGCAAGATTTTAGCTTAGCCATTTTAGGCCTTGGAGACAAGAAATGCTGACAAGTAAATGACCAAGGAATAACCCGACGCCCTAAATTTATGGGAAAAGAGGTACCAACTGGTAATAATGCGAAAATCTAGCCCAACAAGGGTGGGCAAACTATGGCCCGCGGGCTGCATCCAGTCCATCAGACGTTTTAATCTGGTGCTTGAGCTCCCGCTGAGGAGTGGGGTGTGGGACTTGCTCTGCTCCACGTGGCTCCTAGAAGCAGCAGCATGTCTGCCCTCTGGCTCCTACATGTACGGGCAGTCAGAGAGCTCCGCACGCTGCCCCCGCAGCTCCCATTGGCTGGGAATCACAGCCAATGAGAGCTGCAGAGGTGGTGCCTGACACACCCTCCTGCACCGCAAACTGCTCAACCCCAGACCCACCCCAGAGCTTGCACCCCCAGCTGGAGCCCTCACCGCCGCCCCTCCCCCGCACCACAACCCCCTACCCCAGCCTGGAGCTCCCTCCCACACCCTGAACTCATTTCTGTCCCCACCGCAGAGCCCACACACCCCCAGCCAGAGCCCTCACCCCCTCCTGCATCCTAACCCCAATTCTGTGAGTTTTCATGGCCCACCATACAATTTCCATACCCAGATGTGGCCCTCAGGCCAAAAAGTCTGCCCACCCTGGACTAGCCAGAAGATTAAATTTTAAATTATAAAATGCTGTAATAGTAAATCTTGTCTCCAACATGCATCTTAGCCACAGGATACAGGTGGTACATCAGTGCTAATGAGAACCTACACAGCCTATAAAATTCGGGTTTCCTCATGTTTCTAGGGGACACAGAACAGTAAGAAAGAGAGGGCTGACACTTTCATGTACATGCGCAGAATGTAGGTATAGACAGAATCACATTATAAAAAAGGTGCCCACAGCGGGAAAACTGAACTTCCTATGGGAAACCTCCAGGAGAGACCATCCCCATATTGATGATCAATCCATGGGAGAGACATCAGACTAACACCATGTAGGATGATGTGAGTATGTCTGTAGTTATAACTGGTCCATGGATATATTTAGGAATTTTATATGCTATGACATTTATAACTTTGTTGGCAACTTTAATAAAACTGTTAAAAGATAGTGGATCTTGTTCTTGTGATTGTATGTGTTACTGGTCTACGGTTTCATGTGTTCCTATGGACTCTAGATCTAGAGCAAACAGAGATAACTCTGTTGGGTTTGAGAGTGTAGCCACCAGAGCCAAATCCACTGTAGTATTATTAACATTAAATAAAATAAAAGGCTACAAGTATTACTGCTGTTACTACATTACATTGCCTCAATATCTAGCTTTTTCTGGACCAGAGTAACTTACCTGTCCTGTGTCAGTTACAGCCAGGCAGTGAAGTGCACCTACAGCCACATGTACAATCTTCTTCCCTCTCAGCCCTTCCACAACCTGTGGCTTTCGCACATGAACATCAGTGCCATGACCTAGCCTGAAGTAATCCCCCTTGCCCCTGGAACAGACAAGGAAGTAAATGTAAAATTTCCGGCAATTATATTATTCCAAACATTGCAATCCTTTGCCATTACACCTTTACAAATTGAAATCCTTTATATATCCAAAGGGAAAGCGCACGTAACAGCAATGCAAATTTCTTGACAATGACCTTGGAAAGACTTATCTCAGAGGGTAGCGAAAAATCTACAATTTTTCATACATTGGCCTCAATACTAAAAATGTACCATTTATTATTATTTTGGGGGACGTATTGTGGTTGCATAAAATTCATTCTTTCTGTTTTGAAATATCTTACTATTATAAATTTACTTGTACTCAAAAATGACTTGTATTTTTTTAACTCAGTAAAATCACTATCCAGCTTACAATTTATATAAACACAGGACCTGCACTGTGACAACTACTCACATGAGTAAAACTGCACATGTGCTTAACTATTTACATAACTGAGGCTTCAGACAAGCCTCAAACACAGCTTACTTTTATTACCAACATATGAAATTTTCCTCAACTGTCTGAGAGACACCATTAACATTGCACTACTCGGTCTATTTTATGGCAATACCTCAAGATATTACCAACAGTATCAACTGAGCAGAAAAAAAATGAAGAGTGTTGGTTAGAGGTAACAATTCTCATATTCCCCATTGTATTTTGTAACAGAGATCAGTCTCTGTTGGAAATCAAGTATCTCCAAAAGTCCTTAGTTTAATAGTAATTTCCAGATAAAAACTATGTTACAACTGAACTGAATACATATCGGTATCATAAGGATAAAAAAAAATTACTTGGGTGTTCTAATTACCCCCAAAACAAGTACTACAAACCTAGGAAATTCAGAGTTAAACTTAAAAGAAATCCAAGCATGTTAGGTATGCTGAGGCACACAAACAAACTTAACTTTGCCTAGCAGTGATGTCATGCAATAATCACATGTTATGATTATTAAATATTTTAGTGTTTGTCGTCCCAATTTAGATTTAACTTATTTTTGAAGAAATTTGATTTTCCTTCCCCTGCCCCCCAACTCTTTGCAGTGTCGATACAGGGCAGGGCTAATGGAAGGAAAAATGGTGGCCCACGGGCAGCTTGGCTTCCCACACATTGAGAGCAATAGGGGACTGCGGTCATTCTGAAGGACATCTTTACTAAAGGCACTGTTAGCTTCACTCTCATCACGAACAACAGGAGATAACCATTTGAAAAGACTGTTGTGGAATTCACTATAGAAAAATATTATTCATCAGCCTGTGCTGAAGAAGAAACATTAGTTTATGAAGAATAAAGACAATCCTAAAGTTAAGTTTCTTCAAATATAGCTTGTACATAAGAATTCAACTTAACCAAACGGGATGTTTGAAGACCCTGTGTTGTTCTGTTACTGAGATCATTGGTAACAAAAAATATCTTTTGAGTTTTAAGTTTCATGAATTATCTTTAATAAATTTGTACTTTAACTAACAACCAATTCACTTGTAAGTTCTCAGATGGGAAATTCTCATTCTATACTCAAAGAGTATTCTAATATTGAGGAGAATATGCTGTATTCTCTACACATAAAGTGGATGAATCCCTGATTCAAGTGGAAAAACTAATCCCTAACAATGGAATCACAACCAATCATTCTGTAATTAGAGAACATATATAGGATGCAGCAGTGCACTTGCTTTAACATAAGAACCAAGAGGAACTGAGCTATATTATTTCATAGACTATATATATAAGGCCCTACTTGAACTGTGGGATGATTGTCAAAAAATTGCAGCTGAATTGCGAACAAGCCATGGAAAATTGTGGAAAAGAATAATGGACCTTATTATTTTCGGTAATAAGGTCCATTATCACTCTTCCATGATTTTCCACTGTTGGCCACCCAGAGCTGAGAAGGGGAACTGCGGCCCTCAGCCCTGGGGTGGCCAGGACTCCCCACTGTTAGCCTCGCACCCAGTAGGGCTCCCGCTATCAAAACTGCATTGGAAGTCAAATACTGTGGAATCCACAATTTCCACAATATTGCAAGTTAAGTAGGGCCTCAACTATATAAAGATTTTCTTTTATCACAATAATCTTTATTTCTATTTATTTTTATTGCACTAAAACCTATACACCCCAACCAGGCAAGGGTCCCAGTTATGACAGGCACTCTATAAAGATTTAGTAAATGACAGTACCTTCCCCAAAGAGCTTACACTTTAACAGACAAAATATAACAGGTGAGTGCACAAATAAGTGTGCAGGGGGAGGGAGGTGGTGGTGGAAACAATAGGATGTTTTAGAATAAATTAAACATGTGCACAAAGCACAGATGTAATAAGCCAGTCTGTAGCAATCAACACAACTCAAATGCCTTGAAATTTTTTGTAAATATTTCTTAGCAACCTTGACATACCAGGTCCACACCACTCCAGATTTGGTAAGTGCCAAAGAGAACTGAGCCCCACACTCAATCTGGCACACACTCTGGCCATTTAGTCTTTCAATGTTCTGAGGAATGTTGCATCCTTCACTTCCTCCTCGGCCCAGTTTTCCAAAGTCACCATCTCCCCAGGAAAACACCAAACCTAGTAACACCAATCAAACAGTATGTCAGACTATGATCACAATATTCCCATATGCTATGAAGTTGCTAAAGAAAGATACTCCTACCTTCATCTGTCAAAGCCAGAGTCTGAGCATCTCTGCTTCCACAAGCAACTTGAATGACTCTGTGACCAAGAAGCACTTTAACCTACAACACACAGAAAAGTAAGCATGCTGCCTCAAACACATTAAGCGTATTTTAAAGTTTCGCAGTAATTTCGAAGTATTTGTGACTTGTTTTGTTCTTTATACATCCAAGCTCACATTACACACTGTTTTGGGATTTTTAGCTTTATTTCTCCCTTTATTTTCTCTTCTTGTACATATACATACATAGACACTACCACAATCAGGAAACACCACTTGTACTTACCATCTTCGGTTTGAGTTGTGTAGTATTGTCTCCATGACCCAGCCTGCCATATTCTCCAAGGCCCCATGTGTACAGTTCACCACTAGATGTGATGGCAGCACTGTGAGAACTGCCACAAGCAATATCACGGATACGCTTGGTTTTCAATGCTTCTATCAGTCTTGGTTTATCACAATTCCTAAAGATAGAATAAAAGGATTTATCACCTTATTTTGTGATGTCATGCAATATATTTCATGCCCAACCCTCCAGTATCTCATGTATATTAAACACCTGAATGGCAAAACTGCCCTAATGCTAATATCTAAGACTCCAATGTTTCACTTTATGTCATGGATTTAATTTATTTTTCTATTTATCTTAAAGGTATAATTGTTCAAGTCAATTTAGAACAAAAATGTAGGTCTGGTAAAAAAAAATAAACTTTTATAAACCTGAAAACATATATTCATTTTCCACTATTTTTAATGTAAAAAGCGACAAAGAGTCCTGTGGCACCTTATAGACTAACAGATGTATTGGAGCATAAGCTTTCGTGGGTGAATACCCACTTCATCAGACGCATGCCACAAGACTCTGTCGCTTTTTACAGATCCAGACTAACACGGCTATCCCTCTGATACTATTTTTAATGTAGTTCAACTGAACATTCCTTTTTTAAGAAATGTTATGTAACACAAACACACTGCAGTATCCTGATAATGAAGAACCAGAAAGATAAACAGATTTTTCTCAATCTTTCCTTGCTAAAAAGCGTTTGAAATTTATGAAAAACTTTCAGGAGAAAAATCTACACCCTAGCTCAAAAAAAGCACGCCAACCGTCAAAAGAAACAGATAGAATTACAAAACCCCTTGGCAACTTTAAAGACATCATACTTAGATTACAAAATTAATAATACAATAATGACTTAACTAGATGGTATGGTGTGGGTTGTTGGTATCAAATACAATGTTGGTACTTTTGTTTTACTGCTTCAATAAAATATCTTTTTTCACACAAGTAGCTTAGCTTGAGTGAGCTATCAAATACTCAGCTTCTAATTCAGCTTCTGCCAGAAAACATTTCTAGCTAACAGATATTTAGAAATACTAGATTTACAGATTAATGGTGCACCAAACTTCTTTTTATTTATGGCCTGTCTACAGCACACCACAGTGTAGTATCAGAGTCCACTATACTGCTCTGCAATTCTAAAGCATCTTCCATCAGGAATCTCAAATAGCATAAAAGTTTTAATACATCACAACAGCCTACCTGATCCCGAGGCACTAGGGCGACTAATGAGAGTTTGAATTATTGCCATATGATAGAGAAAGTGCTTGACATGAGACATAGCTCAGTCAGTTAAGGCAGCAGCAATTCACCATGGAAAAAGCACTTTTAGCTTTATTTGTTTTATCAACCATTCAAAAAACGTTAGTGGGCCTCTTACCTAGAAACTGAGGTGAAAATTGTAAAGAACTTCTAGAGAGCATGAGTGTAACCTTATCAGGCTGTGGCAGGCATTTCAACACCCCCACCACCACCCATTGCAAATTGGTAACCAATATTCCTGCTACCTCTCACGTAACTTTTCAATAATGAATATACAAAAGAGACCCAATTAAACACTGACCTTGCCCATTAAGATAAATCTTTTTTTAAAAAGCTATATTAATTTTAACTTGAGTATCCCTTTAAAACTACTGAAATCGCAATAAAAGCTTAGTTTGCAACATACAAAACTGATATATGTATTGCAGAAGAATCTTTTTGTAACAATTCTTTATTTATAATATATGTAATACTGTCACTGCTTGCTAACAATGATTCAATATCATTTGTTTGAAATATTTCCTATTTCAAGGTACTAATAGAAATTATATCCTTACATTCTGCTGAAGTGGCCAAGTTTTCCATCGTCTCCTTCGCCCCATGAAAATACCTTCCCATCAACAGTTAAAGCCATAGCATGCCGGCCACCTGCAAAGGTTTAAACTGCAAGTTTCAAACAGCAAAGATTTATTTCTTCGCCCTCCAGTATGGAAGACCAGAAAGTGCACATAGTCAACAGGGCAACAGAAGTTAAGCAAAAGCCAAGAAACATCCCATTAGTGCTTCAACTTAATATAGTGCTACGCTCTCCACCCCATAACTCTTTACTTTAATATATTCAAAACCATTAATTTTCACATGGTCCACTGAGAAGGTGAAATAGCTTATTTTATAACTTTTTAAATAAAAGTATCCAGGGTGAACATTTTCCCTCAGTGGAAACAAATCACTTAAGTAACTATTTTCGAAATGAAAGAGTTAGCTAACGTTTTTTAAAAGAAAATATTTCCACTGGATTGACCCAAAAATTACACTATGAAAAATCAGAAATTATTCTGAATTTAACTTTTAGAAAGATACCACAACTTTATAGGTCAAAAAAATTAAGAGACTAAATTCACAGATTTCTATGGCCAGACGGGATCACCAGATCATCTAGTCTAACCTCCTTTACGCAGGCCATAGAATTTCAGCCAGTACTCCTATATTACAGGCTCTATTCCAGGGGTCGGCAACCTTTCAGAAGTGGTGTGCCGAGTCTTAATTTATTCACTCTAATTTAAGGTTTCGTATGCCAGTCATACATTAACATTTTTAGAAGGTCTCTTTCTATAAGTCTATAATATATAACTAAACTATTGTTGTATGTAAAGTAAATAAGGTTTTTAAAATGTTTAAGAAGCTTTATTTAAATTAAAATGTAGAGCACCCTGGACCGGTGGCCAGGACCCAGGCAGTGTGAGTGCCACTGAAAATCAGCTCA